CTACAATTTGCCACACTCTGCTTTTGAAAACCTTCCTAAGATTGTGAAGCAAACATTGAAGCTTTGTCTGAGAGATAAACACCTTCAACACTTTAGCACTTAACTGGTTCTACCAGATTCAAGTAAGAACACTGAAACCAAATTAACATTTGACTGTTAGCTGTAATCTCTGCTATTGATACTCAGATCCCTCTTCCCCTTAGCACTGTATAATCAAATTTGTTGTTTTAAAATATTTTTACTTTGTTTTACAAAGCCCTAGGAGTGAAATTACTCTGGATTTAAAAGCGACTCCGTTATAGTCTAACTTAAAAGTGAGAAGCCCAGGGTACACAAGAATCCATGTTGTAGAAGAACTCCAGGTCTGCAGTTCATGTGGCGTATGCTTACAGCACTTTGCCAATATTTTGATGAAAATAACCCAAGACAAATTTTCATATCGGAAGAGAGTTGTGAACTCGGAGCAGTTTGCTGTTTACCTCACTTTTTTGGATCACAAAATTATTTCGAGAGGCTTTTGCATCTGCTTTTGAGGAAAACATGTTGTTTCTTAAGGAAAAAATTATTTCAGATCAGAGGAAGGTGGTAATAATAATTTTCTCTTCAGCTCTAGAGGAGAAATGCAGTTCTGAAAATAAGTATTTGCTACTATTCCCTTCTGGGTTTTGGTTTTATTGCTTGTTTTTCTTGGGAGTGGGGGAGGTGTTCCACTTATGGGTTTTTAGGCTTTAGTAACCCACTTTGGTGACAAATGATGGTGTATCTACACAACACACCCCTGGTAGGTGCTGCCTTCTATAATTGCTTCTGGTGGCTCTGAAAGCCACAGGAGAAACGTGCCAGTGTGGCACCACTGGGTGTCATCCCCTGTGCCACCCATGCAAGCAGGCACAGGCCAGCCAGAGCTCTCCTCAGCCTGGGGCCACGCCAGGTGGGTGAAGCTCCTGTGTCACCTCCCTCCCAGATGCTCTCTGTGTGACTCATCTGGCAGCAGCCCTGCTTCTGCAGTCATCCATGTCCATCTGTATTATTCCGAAACCATGGGCATGCTGGAAAATAATTTTATTCTTTTGTTCCAAAAATATAAATTTTTATGTCTCTGTCATGTAGTGACATATTAGTGAAGTATTTGTAACTTCTTAACTGGTTTAGGGTATCACTCAGTATCGTTTTATATAAAGGATATAAACTTGGTTGATGGCAGTGCCTTCCTGCAAAAATACCCATCTTTTAAAGTACTCTTCAGTTTCTTAATTTATTTCATTGCAGTTTTGCAATCTATTGGCAGTTATTTCAAGACATAGAAAATAGGGTTTGGAACACGCTGTATTTAGTGCAAACCTACTGAAGAAATTCTTTTAATTAGAACAGAATACTTCAGCAACAGTAGAATTCTAAGTGAGAAAAAGTCACAAACAAAAAAAACCCAAACAATCCCAAACAAAGAAAAAAAACCCCACCACACTCCAAACCCCCAACAAAATAAAAAAATCTTGTATGTGTTTTCTTCTTAAAAATAGATGAAACTTAGTAATGATGGTAGGAAAATGGTGACTTGCCCTTCACGAAAACTGACGAGATTGCCTAAGAGGATATTATTTTAACAATTAGTGGTTTTGTTATTGTTAGGATGAGACCTAATTCAAGTAGGGAAAGGGAAGTTAATTAACAAACAATTCACTTTTCAAAAAGGCTATATTCTCTAAATCTGGAACGCTGGTATGAACCACTGCAGGCAGAGGCAAGATTTGGACCAGAGCAGGTCCCATGGTAGGGCACCCCTTATTCAGGGAGTAAATGAGGCATGACACAATGTTGGTATGGCAAAAATACCTTAGAACATAGAGATTAATTCTGAAGAATTCAAATTGCAAGGGTATATGAAGTAAATAACTGTTGATTCATGCATGGAATTAGAAAAACACAGCTGTTCCTCAGTAAAATAGGAAAGGTATAACATTATCTAGTTCTTCCCCATTGGTGCTTATTAAATAAATGGAGATTCTAGTAAATAAAATGGATTCTCTTTTTTAATTTATCCATTCATGTAATTACTTTCCTTTACCATATGTGCAAGGAGTGGACCTCAGTTTTTGAATGTCTCATCCCTGTTAAGAGTGAGAGAATTATCCCTTCAGCCAAGTCCTGTCCTTCCTTTGTGGGAAGCAAAATTCCAATTGCAAAAGGTGGTGAAGAATAAAGTTGTCAGTAATTTTTCTCTAGTTTACATGTTACATGAATTTTTGAAGACAGAACTCTCATTCTCCAGCTGTCAAGAACATGTGTATAGAGAGAAAGGGATGATCATTTTAATGGATCTGTGACCCCCAGAGCAAAAATAAAGAGTAGGTATGTTGCCTTCATTCCCAATCAGAAATTATTTAAATCTATTGCTTTGCTTAGTCTCAGACAAATGAGGTATTTTTTATTAAAAAATACTCCAAAAAGTCATGTCATTTTGAACTGGAACATTTCTGGTTCTGAATACGGCTGACAAAACTGATCTTTTAATATAATAAAATAGGGAAAAGTATGGTAGAAAAGACAAAACTGTACATTAGTTCTACTTCTGAAGGCTTTTTAGGGTGGAACGACATGGTCAAAAGCAAGCTATTTGAGAGCTAAAATTCACATGGCAAATGCATCAGATCCCTTTCTATAACAAAAGCTCATGTGCATTTATTTGCAAAACACTATGGGTGAATGATATTATCCAGGACATTTTCTAAATCTCTCACATCATCCATAACCTGAGTAATTAATTATTATCATCTATGCTAACACTACCTGTACTTAATCTACTACTAAATGAGAAAACTTAAATGTAGATGATTGAACTGTGATTAAATCTGACTGAGAAATTAATCTCTGCAGAACTTTACCAAGATCAGGAGAGATTTTTTTTATGACATACAATGGCATAAACTTGTAGCAGTTGCTATGTGAAAAATGTAGGGAAGAATATATAAAATCTTCAATTGTAGAATACTGAAAATAATTAGGTATAGATCATATAGAAATTACTGTCAGCTGGATGGCTTAAGTTAATCATCAAACAGCAGTACTTATAACAGATAGAGATTGAAAGTTCACATGATTATTACAATGCCTAGTGGTATATGGTATGTTGATGAAGAGAGATTCTATATTTCTCTAATAGAAATATCATTCAAATGAAGTTTTTTATGAGTGTTACATAGTAAGTTTAGTTGATTTACTAAATTTTAGTGATTTTCTTGTAAAATACCAAAAAATGCATCTTTTTTATTTTTCTCTGGACAACACTTTGCCCAATGCCTCTACCTCAAATTTTAAAACTGCTTAATTTCTTAATAGCATTACAGTTAAAATATTTTTAAAATATGCCAGATGCTTGCAAACATTGAAACATAATGATATTGAATTTTTTATGTTCTTGGATTTTCTCTATTTCATTTGGCTAATGTGGCTGGAATTGATTCTTCAATGTTCAGAATCTGCACACAATTTTGAATGGTAGACTATATTTATTTTCTGTTCTGCTTTGAAAAATATCCTAGATTTCAAAATATCTGGTCTAGTCACATGATACAATCTGTGTGGCACTCTACTGAACAGCTTACATTAGTTATTAGTCATTCAATGAAAAATTTAAAAACAAGCAAGTGAAAATTAACACATTCCATATGGTTCTTCAATTGTAATGGCTCCAAATACTGTAGGTGGTGATTGACTGAGTTAAAGCTGTAATTTGACAACATGACAAGGGCATCCCACACATCCCATTGCTGGCAGAGATAAATGCTCAATGAAATTTTTGATCTTACTCAATTTGCACACCCACATCTGCCTGCACATAGAATAGAAACGACCAATGGCTTTCTAGAAGACAGAGAACACAGGATTTCCTGGCTTCTCCCCAGCAGAACACCTGCACTGACTTATAAACACTCTCACAGGCTAGAGGGGAAAATCCACAGGGGCAGGGTACGAGCACCACAGTGATGTTATTCTTGACACTAAAACAATCCCTGGATTGAAACTGCTGGCATAGTATTTGCAGGATAGCTCAGGCAATTTCCAGAATGGAAAGGAGGACATATATTTGGATCAGACAGAGCTTACAGATATAAGCTGGTCATTATTTTGTTCAGCATTAGTGTGTCAGTGTAGGTCACCTCTAAATCTATGAATGTGCACACCTCTGCCCGAAGGATCCTGCTGAATAAAAGGTGCCAGAGAGCAGTCCCTGAGCCTAAGGGCAAGCCATGCAACTGCCATGTATTCACACTTTTTGGGGATAACACCTTCTGCAGCTGCTACTCGTGTCCAAGTAACACAGCCTCTGGATCTATTCTGGGCCCGTGTCGCAGCTTTGCAGGCCAAAGTTCAAACTGTCTGACAGAACACGAGAACAGTGTTTCAGGTATGGCACAGAAAATGACCTCACAATTAGCAAATGGGCTGTGGCATAAGAAAGCATAAGAAAGCATGGGAACCCTTCATATTCTTCCTAGAGAGAGTTGAAGGAGTGTGGATAGTGAGGTAGAGGGAGCCAATCTCACAGTCTCCACACAGCCTTGGAAGCAATCCTTAGGGTGAGATGTAATTAGGAAACCCTCTAGGCTCAACAAAAAGCACTACCAGGCAATCAGCATGGACAAGCAGCGTTCTGTGTGTGCTGTCACCTCCAGCTGACCCAGATAGTTACATCCTACTGACCTGTGTTGCAGCAGAATAATCACATATGTTTGAAAAGTGGAAAGAGCTCTGTACACTCTTCTCTGTAATGCTGCCTCCTTCACACAGGATTACTCTTTTTCCCAAGTATGTTATTATATGTCTGAGTTTCCCTCACATGATTTTGAAGTTTTCACTTCATTAATGAAATGCACACTGGATGTGTCAGAGCAATTTTTCCATAGCTGCCAAGTATCTGCTCTTGTCATTCACATATCGATATATGGCAACTCAGCTTACCTAAAATTGGAGTAAGTTGTGTATTTCCAGGCAATGTTGACTGTGCAACTCAAGCACTGAACCTGTTTGCATATGTAGAGCCTTTCTGACGGGCCCCAGCTTCCAGAAAGCCTTGGAAATTCCAGACAGAGCCATGGTAACCCTATTTTCAGAGAGATGGAATGGTGACAGATGAGCATGCCTAATGCCTTAATCCTTGCATATGTTGTCTCTTTTCTGTTTATCTTGATGTAATTAACTGAACAGTCCCCATATTAGTTCATTTAGTGTCATGAGAATTGGTATCTTCCTCTTCTATCAGTTGCAGCTGTCCTTTCCTGATTTGACTCCAGTGTGTGGACTTCTTGCAGTGACTCATATGCTGAAAAATGTTGTAACCACATGAAAACTCAGAAATGACCTACAGAAAGCACACAGATGGAATCAGATATGCCAGTGGTAAATAATACTAAACACAGACCAAAAGAGCACAGAAAGTCTTAAGGTTTCACTAACAGTGGAAATGAATGGGAGCAAGCTGAACTTTTCGTATTCATTAAGAAAAATGACCTGACTCAATGTGCAAATTACTGCAGGAAGGAGATGTAGTGAGGCAAATAATGTTCACATGAGTTTGTGACATACCTCCTGTGAACCAAACTCCAGCTGAAATTAATTATAAAGCTTATTTTCTTTCTTAGATTGTATTCTTCATCATTCATAGGAAATAATATACATTCCAGTGGCCCAGGCACCATCAAAAATTTAATCTGCCAAATTTTGTCACTAATTTTTCTCACCTGAAAATTTGACATTGTTATACATTTGTATTGTTGTATAACAATAAGCATTTTAGAAACTCATCTGTATCAGGTGATGTATTGCTGCATCAAATGGCAACAGTCTCTTTGCAGCCTTTTAAATTATCTTGCAAATTCTCATCTCTGAAGGGCTCGGTCTACTGCAGTGTGACACCTCCTTACAAACTACAGAGGGCAGGTGAGGATTGTGAAGCTGTGCCTGGGCTTGTGCACTCAGTGTTTAAGCACCTGATACGAGGCCTTTTCTTACATGGCCCCACGCCAGCTTCTCCAGACGGTGACTTGTCCTCTCTGCCTCTGCTGAGACACGGCTTCTTAGTTCTCAAATGCATTCAGGAGTTCACAATCCAAGATAAGAAAAAGGAAACAGAGGTGAAAGTTCCTTAGTAGATGGAGACTAAAACCAAATATTAACAAAGGAAGTTAGATAAAAGAAAGACTTTTGTTTAAGTTTCTACCTTTCTTTTGTTTTCCTGCCATCAGAGGTGAAATTGTGTCAACAATTCCCAAAGTATTCATAATTCCAGTGTTCACTCTTTTCTGATGTATGTCATGTAGTTTATCTTGGTCTCAATGCAGTGTGTTATGGATTTGGGTGGGTTTTTTCCATTCAGATTTAAGAAGTGCAAACTGCAGAGCTCTACAGATAGGTGTATTTAGAATACTGAGTGGGAAAGCAACAGTGTATACATAGACTCTGCTTTTTCAAATGGCTAATAACAGTTATTTTTGAATGATTGCAAGCATTGCATTTAGAGAAAGAGTGAAATAAGACCTATCATTTAGGTATTGTACAATCATTTGGAAACATAGCTATTTAGCTCACAAAATAATTTATTTACAGTATAGTGCTGGGGAAAAAAAGAAAAATCACAGATGTTTAGATGCATGAACTAGCTAGTGCAGTGGGGCAGTGAGTGAAAAGTCGCAAAAGAAAGGAAAAATTATATCAAAATATACAAAGGAATTTTTAGGCTGGTTTCATAGGGAAGGTGGTAATGGTGTAGGAATGTAATTTTATCCATTTTCTTTCCACTGCATAGTGTCTTTTCAACAAAGACCACAGCCAGGAAAAATCTTTCTGGTTTGGAATTTTTAAAAACTGGTTAACTATATAAAAAGTTCTATGAATATAGCATATAAAAAGGACCATAACTAGGTAAGAAGAAAGGTTTCCATCTGCACTTTTGATTTGTTTAAACTAAAAAATTAAATTTGGAAAGTAAATTCTTTATCTTTATTCCTTAGCATACTTAAAAGGGAGATTAGAGATGGCAAACACTAATAAAAACTATTCTTGTGGAGCCTACCTTGGTTTTAAGATTTTTCAGCTACCTAGAATGTTAACCCAGCTAGATGTTCTTATAAAAATTATACATTTAATTCAATTATTCAATTCTCAAGTCTGTAATTATAAGATAGCCTTTCGTTTATGAAAACGTGAAGTAAATTACTATTATAAAAAACGTGATTGGATATAATAGTATCTTCACAGATCCCATCTAACCTCACTGAGTTTTACCCTTAAAGGACAGTTTTTCATATAAAATGTGTGTCCATTTAATGATTACTAGTCACAATATAAGGATAAATTAATAGCTTTATTGTCTAAGCACAGCCAAATGCATATCCAGATGTGTAAATGTAACCATCTATTTACTGCAGGTGTTAAATTTTCATGAGTGAATTCTCAAAATCACAAATGGATATATGAAATCTTCAGAAACAATCTTCAGATGAGAACAAAGCTGTTTTTTTTTCCCAGACATTTGCTCTCATTACTGAAGCTGAGATGCCAAGATTGCACACATGTCCCTTCCAGACTTGGTACACATAAAGTCCCAGTGCCTTGAGAAAACACATTTGGCAGCTGCTAATATATTAATCAATTGAGTATTGGATTAGCCCAGCCATTCCCTGGAGTGAATGCATTACTGAGAACAGCAAGTCAATTGCCAACTTGCTTAATTTGTTTCTGCCAGAATTTCATAACCAATGCTATGAATATTTATCTGTTTTTTCTCTCACAGAGATGATCCAGGTTGAGGGAATAGCTTTACTGATAATTTATGGACCTGAAACTATGACCTTGTTTTATTAAACATTATTTATTTGCAAGTCTCAAAATAACCTTTTTCCTCCTTAGCCTTTCCCCAAGAATTACAGATAATAGTAACACTTTATTTTACCCTATGAGCTTACATTTTATATTTAGTCTTTGTGTTTAATGCTTTCTCTTCCTAAGTGTCAAAAAATATGGTGAACAATGCCAACTAGAACATTCCATTTTCCTGAGACTATAGCACCTATAATATTAACCAAAACTACAATTTCTCTGGTTTAAAGAGATATTAGAAATTATTTTTCATTTAAGAAGTGTTCGGGCACTACTCAAGGCAGCTCAATTTGTGCTGAACCGACAGGAGTAGAGGATATGGAATTGATGTTATATCTCCTCACCAGTGTGTGCTTCTACCCCGGGCTCTCAACCCATCAAGCATCTTACACAGAAAACATTTTCTTTTCTTTCTTTTGACATTTCATGAACGCCACTTCTCTGTTGTCTTTGTGGGCTTTTTTCCCCTTTCAATGGCAAAAACTCATAAAGTTTAAAGGCTCTACTGGGTAGTACATGTGCAATATGGGACCACATCAGCCTTATGCCTCACAGATTAAACTGCAGGCAGGATCCCTACCTGCAGAATTGACCAACATGCCTTTTTCTATTTGGGGAAGAAAAGCTTTCTTCTTGAGACCGTATCCTCTGCTCCTGCACCCAAAGGGAGCAGTGAGATCTAAGCACAGCTGCAATTTGCAATTTGTATACACAACTTGGGAAAACTTGTATTTTCGTGGTATTTTATTGTATTTCCGTGATAGTCTCTATTCTGTGAGTACAGTAAAATGTATCCCAAATACAGAATTTGGCTTTGTTTCTAGAGTTTTTCCTGCCCATAGAGAAGGGGTTTAGCTTTTTGGTGACAGTAGACTGTTAATTTATATAATTTTAAGAACTCCAATAGGAATATGACCACTTTGCCCTAAAAACTGGATAAAAAAAATCACAGGAAACTCTATTATTTATCTTGTTTCCAGTAGCATTTCAGATTGTAATTAAAGGAATGAGAGCTTTGAACTTGACAACAATTTTAGTTATTTTTGTACTCTGAAGATACATAGTTTAACTTTTGTGTGAAGAACTGGATAAGTTCTTCCTGCTTTTATTTTTTCATCCAGAAAGATTAGTTTGTCTCTATTAGAAAAATCATTGTGACATGCCAATGTAAAATTGCTTTAAAAGACCAATGCAAAATTTTAGAGCAAAATCTATGCTACATTCTCTGTCCTTGGGATTTTCACTAGTGTAGGAAAATTACCTCGATTTCCTATTTCTTGTGAGCAAGATAATATTTGGGGTCTTAATTTTCGGAAACACTTTTAGATTTTAAGTAATCGTAGTAGCATCCAGTGTTACCAGATGTATGAATGGATCTGATCTTCTTTAGGCAAAAACAAACCAGAACTTACTCCTTTGAAATCCCTGAGACTGTTTTTGCACAGAAACAAACCAGAAGCAATCCTAGAGGTCGTCAAGATTGCTGATGGGGAGGGAAACAAAAGACTGTCTTTTTTAGTGTTAGCTTTTAGCTGACTAGCTAAGAGATGAGTCAAAGTAAATTTCTAAATACTTGGGTACTTCCTTTGACCTACCCACTGTAGCATATAATTGAGCAGCAAAGTAATAAATTTCCTGGTTCCCAACCCTTAGGAAGGTGTCTGTCTTTATGACAGACAGGAGTTAACAGTTCTTTCAACCACAGCAAGGGGAGCAGGCCAAGATGTGGTGAAAACGTGGAGGTACAGTTGAAGGCACAGAAATGTTTTTTTCCTTCCCATGTGAAAAGACTGCAATGAATGGAGGATGTTTTAACTTCCTCAGTTGCATTTTGGGGAAGTGAAAGAAAACCATACAAAGTCTCAGTAACCATGACAAAGCCAGATTGTGCTGGCTAGTGTCCATGAATAAAAGTAATGCTGTAGTTGTTTGTTGCCATAAAGGATGTATTGTACATGAATCCAACAAAAGCTTGGTTTGAATTAGCAGTGTTTATCTAAAGAGCAATGAATCATGGTGTTTACATCTGAGATAAGCAGGGAATCTTGCTTAAATGGTTGTATAATTTCTTATGGACACTTGAGTGGTGAAAGTTGCCAAGATAATAAGGCTTTTATAAATGAAATAATGAAGAAATCTCTGCTAGGAAGTGCTTAATTCAATTGAGAAGCAGAATTCCTAACTGATGCAGAAGCCTCAAAGCTCCTATGACAGATTATGTAAAACTGATGCAACAAAAAACAAACAAAACAATGAGAGGGCAGCAGGGAAGGTTAGAAATGTACAGGTATGTAGTAATAGGGAATTAAGTTGTATATCTGACAAATAGTGAGGGCTTAGAATGTTTTCTCTATTGTATCTGACTGACAAATTGAATTCCCAGAATGAAGATCTGTTAGGGAGAGAAGTACAGTTCTTGGGGCTGGACACCCACAT